TATGAGTCAGGGTCTCACTCTGTCGCCCAGGCTGGAGTGCAGTGGCACCCTCACGGCCATCGCAGCCTGGAGTTGTTGGGTTCAGGCAATCCTTCCACCTCAGCCTTCCTAGTAGCTGGTACCACAGGCACGCGCCACCATGCCTGGCTAATTTTTTTTTTAATTGTAGAGATGAGGTCTTGCCAAGTTGCCCAGGCTAGTCTCAAGCCCCAGTGCTAAGGCAATCCTCTTGCCTCTGCTTCCCAAAGTGCTGGGATTACAGGTGTGAGCCACTGCACCAGGCTAATTTTTTTTTTTTTTTTGTAGAGATGAAGTCTCACTATATTGCCCAGGATGGTCTCAAACTACTAGGCTCAAGCAATCCTCCCGCCTTGGCCTCCCAAAGTTTTGGAATTACAGGCATGAACCACTGCGCCTGGCTGAAAAATATTACTTCTGTCATCTCCTGCTGTGGTACCGGACCCCAAAGACCCCAAAAGGGAAGGCACTGTGTCCTAGAGGCTGAAGAAATGACTCAGAGACAATGGATGAGACACGGGCTTTATTCGGGAACTTACGTACAGGGAAGGCGGTCCAGGAAATAAACTGCTCCCCACTGTCAAAGGCACACAGGTTATCTGGTATTTTCCATAGGGCGGAGTGCGGGGCGGACTCTGGAAAGGGTGGAGTTTCTAGCGCGTTGCCTTGCCTTGCGTGAGAAGCTTATACATTATGTGCATGCGCACGAAATGGCTGCGATTTCTCTGGGTGGGGCGGTAGGAGTTTTGGTAGTACAAGGAACTACAGGTGAACGAAAAGTAACCAAAGTTACCGGCATCCGTCCAGATGTGCCCGATCTGGCCCAAACCAGCCTGGTGGGCTCCGACTGCCTCAGGAAGGGCGCTGAGGACACTCGCCACGCACGGCCGCAAGATGTGGTCAGCGCGCGCAGGGGACGCTGGGCCCATGGCCTCAGCATGACCGGCGTGCCCAGGCACGGAGCCCTAAGGGGAAGGGGACATCCTGGAGGGGCCGACCCAGGACCCTTCCCCAGGCTCCCACCCCCTGCTTGGGGGCCATATGGAGGGTGTGCTCCTGTTGTCACTGAGGGAGGGTCCCCCCAGAGCACACGAGGCAGGAAGACCCTTCCCACTGGCTCCCTCGTCCCGCTGCAGACCGCTGGTTTCACTTCCCTCCCCGCAGTCTCGCACATTTCATGGCCACACCACACGGCTCGAGGAGGGCTGGGCCTGGCTGGGGGAGGCCGGTCTGGAGCTGGCCGGAAGGGCTGGGGGAGCCCTGGGGCGGCAAGGGACAAGGCCCCTAAGGCCCCGACCTCCCAAAGAACAAAACTGCACGTCCCTGGAAGTCGGGGAAGGAGCACTGAGCTTGGAGAGGGGGCAGCTCCGTTCTCCATCTGGCCCCTAACTCCTGGGTGACGGTGGCCGAGTCACTTTGCTTCTGTGGGACTCATTCCCACAGGCATGAAGCAAGGGGCTCCATCCAGCGTCAGCTGGAAAGAGTCTCTGCGCCCCTCCGGCCTGCCTCACCCACCCCCTCCTGCCCTTTAATTTTCTCAGATGGGACCACCGGGGCGCAGAGAGGTCAAGGGCCTTTCCCAAAGTCCATAGCTGAAATGCACAAATGGAAGTTGTAGAAAAATGCCTATAACCTGGCTGTGCTTGTGAAAAAAAAAACAGTATTTTATTAAAAAAAATAGGCCGGGCTTGGTGGCTCAACCTGTCATCCCACCACTTTGGGAGTCCGAGGTGAGTGGGCTGCCTAAGCCTGCGGGTTCGAGATCAGCCCAGGCAACTTGGCAAGACTTCTCTATAATACATTTTAAAAAACCCCATAAAACAACAAAAAAAATTAGCTGGGTGTGGTAGCAGGCACTTGTAGTTTCAGCTACTTGGAAGCCTGAGGCGGAGGATCGCCTGAGCCCAGCAGGTCGAGGCTATGGCGGCCAGGAGCGTGCCACTTGCCTCCAGCCTGGGTGACAGAGTGAGATTCCAACTTAAAAAAAAAATAGATTTAAGTGTGTAAAGACAAAAAACCAGAGAGAGACAGATATACAAATTATAGTGGCTCCCCTTGGGCCGAGGGGAGGGGCAGGACTGGGGCACAGCGAAGCCTGCATCGTTCTAAGTACTTCTGTCCCGCAGGAACGCTGCATTGTGACAAGGTATTTGTTCGTTATTTCTGCACTTCGAAAAGTAATCATTAAAATGGCGCTTTGACAAAAAGTGCAGGTCTCGGGTTTCTGTTTTTCTCACAGCAGCAAGATTGCTCTGGTGAGCCTAGGTCCAGAACGCTGCCCAGGCAGGACGTGCCGGGTCACCATGCCGTCTGGCTCAGCCCAGATCAGACCTTCCCGTTCTCGCAGAACCCTTGAGATGAAAATGGGTTAAGCCAGTGCTCAGAGTGCAGGCACCTGCTGGAAAACAGAAAGGGCCAGGAGTCGCTTCTCAGAACCTTTGAGAGCAGACAGCAGCCGTGCCTGTGTGCAGGGAAGACTGCCCCCGTTTAAGAACCTGGCCCAGTGGCTCACACCTGTAATCCCAGCACCTCGGGAGGTGGAGGCGAGAGACTTGCCTGAGCCCAGAAACTCGAGGGGCTGTGCTTTTCCCTAAAATCTCTGTCCAAATCTAATCCAGAGGGCGAGCATGAAGCAGGGAGCAAGCAGAGAGGGAAAGGTTGGAGAATCAGGCCCAAGAAGTGGGTCCAAGGAGACATGGGCAATCCACTTCCCAGCCCAGGCCCTGGGCAACTTGGCGAGACCTCATCTCTACCATACATTTAAAAAGTAGCCGGGTGTGGTGGCACGCGCCTGTGGTTCCAGCTGCTTGGAAGGCTGAGTCGGAAGGATCGCTTGGGCCCAGCAGGTCGAGGCTGCGGTGGCCGTGAGCGTGCCGCTGCCCTACAGCCTG